GTTGTAATAGAATTACCAATCATTCATTCTTTGATCAACCATCTATCCGGAGGTTTTATGAGTTTTGTAAAACAAATGTAAGTTTCTCGAATGATTCTCTCAATCGCTCAATGTATATGAAACCTCACCAAGGCATTTGTAATTTTACCTTCTTCTCATATCCTACCACTAAAAGCTTTTGCGTGGAGTTTTGGGTAGGTATGAAATTTTGAGGCATACTTGCATCACATATTTTTCTAAGTCAAAAACTGGACCTCAAGGAGATGCAAGTCATACACTTTGATCAAGACGTGCAAGTGTGTGGAATTTTCATAACTTCCTAATTATAAATATTTTTTGTACTCCTTTGAATCATGAAAGTATGGGCTATTTTTATTTCTTTCTTTCTTTTCTTTTCTTCATGCTCTTAGGCATGTATTTTTTTCTCTCATGCCTTTTGGTATGGAGATTTTTCTTTTTTAGCATAGCCCATACTATTCTTTTTGGTATATGAAATTTTTGAGAGAGAGACACATGATAAAGTGAATTGAGTAATTATTTGGTGGACGGAAAAAGCATGTTTTTGCGTAACTCTCAGTGTAAGAGTCAACAGTTTATTTTGTGGGTGTACGTGTGTCTTGATCATGGGTGCATGACGAGAATCTCAACAAGGGTCACAACAATTTGACAAAGCTCAATGCTCAAATAAGTAGCATATGACTAAGGTTTTGAATTTTAATCATGTCCTATGGCCTTAGTAGGTATGCATAATCATTGAGGAATTTTAGATTTTAACATTTTTTGAAAGTAAAATCTCCGGATGTCAAGTTTCTCTTAGAACAAAGTCATAGTAAATTCTATTTGTACCATATCTCCCGATAGCAAGGTGGAGTAGAAGGAATACTGCTTGTGTTCATTTGTTGTGCTGTGACACATGTCTTTTCTTCTTCGTTTTCTCCTTCCTGTATTCTTCTGAACAATGGCTCACGACAAGCATCCAAGGGAGGAAACTCTAGAAGTCGTAGATCTGCCTCTGGGCCTTTGTGTCCCTCTTCGTCGCCAAGGGTGAGAGGGAATGATTTCTTATCTCTATGGCTGCCTTGTATTAATCCTTTGAATATGCAGGGCTACCTCTCATGTTGTGGTACATCGGCTAACTCCGGTGGAGGTTGGACAAAAATGGATTGTACATCTTGCTGGGTCCTGGTATCTTCATCTTCATCTTCATCTTCATCCTCTGAGTCGGGTTAGGATATCTAGAATTTTATCTATGAAAGGAAACCTGTATGTTGAAGCCACGCTTGAGGTAGGTCGGCATGAGCAATGTCTCGATGCCGTTAAAACAACCCTCTCTGTATCTGAAGAAGAGACCAATGTTGCTTAGATGAGGGCTGATGAAGCTCATGCTAGGGTAGCAGGTAAAATTTCTTTGAAGAGTCTTTGCTTTTATATTCATGACTTTATCCGGTAATCCTTCATTTTCATTAGATCTTGAGGAACAATTGGCTGCTTCTCATCACAAGATCGAGGAGGCTCATCCCCGGGAGATCGACCTAGAGAATCGCCACGAGACCCTCCAACATGCAGCACTTGGCGCAGTTGTAGCAGTCAACGCTAGCGGTGTTTCTCTTGAAGATAGCCTACAGGATATCCCGGTTTGTACTAGAGAAGTGGCAACTCATGGCGTCCGCTATGGTGCCAGTGCCACTCTTGTTGCAGCGCAACTACGTTCAGGGCATGAGCTCCATCACCTGGAACCTGGTTTTCCAAACACTGATCGGCTGGAAGATCAAGAGGACTTGATTGGAGACTTCACTGATGCCGAGGCTATCGCAGTGACCATCCATGCACAAGATGTAAACAATGTTTTCTTAGGACCATAGATTATATCTAGGGTCTTATAAGTTATAAGTAAACAATCTACTATTTGAATGTCACTTTTGATCCTATGTCTTTCAGTGTTATTTTTTTGTTCTAAAAGCGATACTCTAGGTGTCAGCTATTTTGAGCCAATGAGACTCGGCTATCAAGCATCAACCCAAATTAAATACTTCGGTAGTACTTCTTTACGTATTTTCCATTGAGGTCTACACGATAACAGATCCGTATCATACGGCGGTTTGCACATACAATTATGGAATCTAAAGAACGACACAGCACATCGCAAAACTTCAACCTCAGTGAGGTTCTCTACCTTCCATCTTGCAACCCTCACAGTCAAGGGATGTGATCTGCTTCTTGATCGTGAGAGCTATAAGATGGAATATAAAGCACCCAATATTTAAGAATGAGCACCTCACAAACTTGAATCACCCCAATCGAGTATGGAGTCCCTGAACAGGAGAGATCCAGATGATTGTAGATCTTCTATTAACAAGATCTGTAAGAAGATCTACAGTCATCAAGGTCAAGCTCCTATTCAACGGCAGCACCTTGCAAAGGATGGAGAAGGAGCACCTCGCAAAACTTGCACTAGCATCTCAGTGAGGTGCTTTATATTTCGTAATCTTGCTACCTTTGAGGATCGAGGGACGCAAATCTGCGTCTCGATCCTGAAAGGCAACAAGATTATGGAATCTAAAGCACCTAATCTTAAAGGCCTTCTCCAAACACTAGCATCCTTATGAGGTGCTTTATCTCCATCTTGCACCTCTCATGGCCAGGAGGCCGTGAGAGGTGCAAGGATGAAGAGAAAGCACTTCTTCACGATGAGGAAAGATATAGTAGCTCACGAGTATGTGGATTCAAGAGTGTATGGATTGAGCCCAAGAGGTGCATCCAGACCCTGGTTAACTAGGCCAACCTTGAAGATGGAGAAGTGCAAGTAATGGTGATGTAGGTGTGTTGTGGGTAGTTGGGAAATAACTCACGCTAACTTTACCGCCGGAAGACCAAATAGTCATGGAGGGCCGGCGGCCATAACACGTATCCTAGTCGGCTCGGCTTTTCATACGACTGAGAAAATACCACTGTCACATCTATTGTTAATCCATCGATGGTAGAAGTTTCAATGCTGGTTTCCTTCCTCAGGAGGCCTCGCTATCGGTCCAACTGGCGGTGGAAGTAAAACACAGTCGCTTCTATTGCTACGGCAGTGAAAGTGGCGATAGTGATAAGTCAATCTATAGTAGTGGATACCCTTTACTATATTGCTAAGAAACTAGGGGTTTGTTGCTATAGAAGTACAATAATTATCTTCATTGACATATGTTGGTATTTATTAGTGTGAGTTAGAAATTAAGAATTCTGCAAGCGCACAGATATACCATTGTAGTATTTCACTTAAAGTATTCTAGGTATCGTTATTTATTTTTTACCACTGGGAGGAACGATGGCAAGGAAGATATATATTTATGATGAAATCACTAACTAAACACTTACTCTAAACATGGATAAGTTTAAGATATTTATAATATAAGTGTATGACAATTCAGAGATAGATATAGATACTCATAAATGTAGCATAGCCAGATTAAGTAATAATCAAGAGAAAGATTCCTAAGTTATTTCTAATCAACAAGTCTTAGTATACAGAAGCATATACACTCTATAGCAATAATTAACTCTTCATCTATGCATAAGGGACATCTCTCAAGAAAAGCATAATGAATATGACTTCTCCATCATGACATAAGTCTTGCTAGTCATATAGACGGGGGTGGAATACAAAGGATCAACAAGGCTGTCACCCACGTAGATCTACCACACCCGGAATGGAGGGTGCATCCACATGCAAAACAATGTATAAGCACCACACTTACATAGAGTTTGGCTACTCAACTCACTAGAGTACTGAATTGAGCGCTTTGTGATCTTATGTATAAACTTAAAGATAATTATAACTATATCATGCATGTACTCGAAGTAAACTAGGAACATGATAAGGAGAAACATAATATAAATTAAGATCAAAGTCACAATAAGATATCTAAAAGATACAATGGCTATACCAAGTCTTCTAGAGATGAATCTAGAACCCCAAGCGATAGCCCGAATTTACTTGAATCTTAGTTAAGCTAAACTATACTAGAAATAATGATAATTAGAGATCTACTCTTCTCTTCTGAACTGGATCTCTAAATGAATCAAGATGCCTTTCTGGAGGGGGTCTAGGTTCCTTTTATAGAGGGCGTCAAGCTCCTAATGGGCCCATGAATCCATGGCACGACTTAATCTCATCCCTCCATTCAAACCGACTTGAATAAACGATGTAGATTAATCCCCAAGGTTGGTTAGAGACGACTAGAGCTGACAGATGGGCTAGGGAGGGTTGGTCGACCTACTGGTGGGGTCGGCTGACCCTACCAGGGCTCCCATCCACATGGACTTCCTTCTTTGGCCAATGAACTATAGATTAGAGCCCAGTGGAGTTGGTTTCATCATGGATGTATTTGATTTCTTGTGATAGTATGGCCAATTTATCCTGTTTTCTAAATAAATACTCCTGTATTCACAAAATCACCAAAACTCATGGAAATATTTAGTTTAAACCACTACACCTATGTTGGTGATTGATTTTAAAGATGAATTCAAGGAATTTTGACTATTTATAATTATCAATAATGATCGTCAACAATATACACCCCAACCATACATCTATGTGTTGAATTAGAGTTTTAGACCACATGAGAAAGTCTGATTCCTGAAACTTTTGGTCTAGGAGTGCACATGAGATGCTCTATGTGTTTGGTGGGTGCCATTTTCACATTAAAAGTCATTTTTACAATTAATGATTGTATACAGCTAGTAGTCACACACTGTAGTAAGGTACTATATGCCAAAAGTTGTAAAGGTGCTTTGGCAGGTATGCTATAAACAAGGCAGCTTTAATGAGTAAAGGCCTATCATTATTAATATCTTTTGCTGGCAACTTGTTTCCTTCACTCAACCTTGAACGGTTATATGTTATAAAATATCTTGAAAGCTTCCTAGACATGACTTCTTGATGTTTATTTAATCGGTGAAGGACCTAGTAGTACTTCACCAGTTCTCTCCCCTAGTTCTTTCTTTCCCTAGCATCCATGGCTTCTTGTCCCTACCTCAAGAAAGTTCGTCGATTGTTCTCCCGCATGTTGTTTTCTATTGGAGTTGATCCATTTCTTGTAGTATTGACAATTGCCTTTTTGATGTTTGCTGAAGAAGATGGCTATGCTAATTGCTTTGAATGCATAAATGCATTTAATGAGTACCATATCTTGGTTATGGTTGATTCTGTGAGAAAATTTGTTGTTGACCTTGTTCATCTTGTATCGGGTGACACAAATAGCAGTTCTCCTGGTGCAAAAGAAGTTATTGAAAGAATTGATTTCTACCTCAACAATATTTGCTCTAAAGCCCTGGGAGATCTACTTGAGGAATTTGAGATCTAGGAATTAATCTATGAATACGCTCAAGATCATGATGAACATATGATGGAAGAAATTTGTGTTAGACTGGTAAGATTACTACTCAATCTCAATCTCAACAAATAATCCTAGGTGATGTTTAGGGTTTCATGGGTTAGAGGTTAGGATTTACTGATGCCGATCAAAGTTGGATTTAATGGGAGTACGGAGTATATCTGATGTTGTACAATGATGTGGTGGAGCTAGGAGGAAAGGAAGTTTCTCTAAGGGTCAGTTTGGATGTAGATATTGGAGGACTGGCATTGAATTGGGTACCAATGCCAAATCAGACTAGTAATGGAAATGAGCTATGATACCAAATCATATGTTTGGGTGTAGATGAAATTGCTATCTAGAATCCAGTGAGATGGCAAATACTAAATCATGTTTGGCTATAGATCTCATCAAATTGGGAATGCGGCTCCTTCACGGGATGCACGGTGACATACGGTGGGAGGCCACCTTGCTATCTTCCTTGCATTCTCCTCACGCTTAGCTGTGGATTCGTGACCCTTTCCATCCTCGACCATGGCCCTATGTGGCTATGCCCCTTTGGCTCTGAAGGTAGGGATAGGATCGAGCGTGGGGAAGCATATCCACTTCCATCACCGCCAGGGAGACAAAGAGCACATCATCGCTACCTCCAAGGAGCGATGGAGCCCATTGTCTCCATGCCTTCCGTCTGTTCTATAGCCAAAGAGCAGAGGACTTGGGGAAGAAGCAGATCTGGTGGCCGAACTTGTGGAAGAAGAGGATTCGGATGTGGCTAGACTTGGGGAAGAAGCGGATTTGGTGGCCAGACTTGGGGAAGAAGCAGCTGAGGATGTGGCCATCATCCATTAAGGAAGAAGTAGGTGAGGACTTAGGGAGGAAGCTCGAGCATCGGTAGCAGGGTCCTTTGGTGTAGGTGGCCGACGACGGACGTTGCCGACGGTGGAGGTGGGAGGCTAAGTGGAGGTGAGCGGCCATGGAGACGACAAGTGCCAAGGTCCTCCAATTCCACTCAATACGAAGGGGTTAGTCTCTGTATTGGGATAGGTCCCTTCCAGTTATAGTCCAATACCATGGAAATGGGTCTCCATTGCCAAATCTCAATTCGACAAACATCCTAACATCAGCATTCGAGAAACATGATTCCAATTCCCAATTTTGGGCTCCAATATCGACATCCAAATGGGGTATAAGTGCTTTGGGTAAGGGTGGTGGGTGGCGCTAGTGACTAAGGATGAAAATTGGTGGTGCAGTGACTAGTAGTGGTGATAGACCTAACGATAGAGTATGCACCAAAGTTGGAGGTGTGTAGGGTGGGGGAGCATGACGAGACCTTGCTGGAAGTGGTAAGCAAGGTCTTTAGGAAAGAAGAATGATAAGAGCAAGAAACATCCTAGCCATGAAATTGGTATATATGTATCAAATTTGTTGCCGAAAGCCAATGATTTTCTTGTTGTATTTAAGGATAATCCCTTTTTATATATAGATTCATGATTTATCACATCCATGTGCAGGGTATTGTAACCAACTTGGATGAATCTTCTAGTCAAGCCCAAAACACTCAAGGTCCAGCCACAAGTGCTCAGATGCCTGAAACTATAGAGGAGGCAACAATTTTATTTTGGTCAACTAACTTTCTCGAAGAAATGTTAGAGAATGCGGATGTAAGGATGGGAAATTAGTTTTTATATCATGCCCATGAGGGATCAATTAATAATTAATGGTCGTACCAAACTCACTGCTATGTTGGATTAAGTAATTTCTTTCAAATTCTTTAGGAACTCCTATGTCAGCCAAATAACATTCCAAAAGAAGAGAGAACTCTACTTGTGATTTTATCTGATGGGTATCCATTGACTGAAGATGAACTATATAACTTCTTTCGCTGGTAACATGGTCTTCTCAACCATATTAAGCCTATACACATTCAAAGTTTTACATTTAGAAATGAGCATGGTTATTTTGGTAAAATATTTAATATGAAACGATATATCATTGGCTTTATTGGTATTCCTATCAACAATGTAGTTAACTATAGCAAGAGAAAACAATAAGTAAACATTAAAGTTTATAGAATTATGTACTTAGAAATTAAATAGCATGTCAAAAAATGAGAAGCAGATCCAAGACTAACTGTCATATATAAGGTATTTATGTGTTGTTTGTGGTGGTTACTTTTTAATGTATATATTCAACATTGTATGAAGCAAATAAAATTTTTGCTCATGGTCATAAAAATAATTTTTAAACTGATATTATGGAAAACAAGAACATATTTTTATAGAAAATAGTATAATAGGGGGTTTGCATGGGGAATATGACCCATGGTTATGACACTTAGGACTGCAATGCTAAAATATGTAGAATTAGATCTCTATTCATTGGTGGACCTAGAGTTACCATGCAAAAAATTATTAATTGGTTCAAAAAATATCTTGTCTTTGCATGAACACATTTTTATACCTATTTTCCTTGATGACGTTGAAATAAGACATTTTCATTCCAATGAGAGGTCATATGCACATTAAAATAACACAAAAGCGAATATATATGATAAGAGCCCTTAGGTTGTTAGATCGAAGTAATCCCCATAGCTTTATACATGTAGACATTCATCAACATATAACCCAACCAAACAATAATTGTGATAAGCAACATGTTTGTCTAAAATTCCTCACTAAGATTTAATTGCACTTAGCTGACCACTAAGTTACTCAGTAAATTTCTGAAACTTAGCCTTTTTGAACTATAGGTGCTATTTTGACCAAAGTCTTTCCATATTGTAAAATATTGCCTCATTCTTTAACAAATCAACATTTTATCTCAAATCAAACTTAGTTAGGATAGTTTGTGTGTTTCAAATTTAGCATTCATGAATGCACTTTGTTTCTTAGACAAAACAATATTGAATATTCCTTCCACTAGTGAAACAATATCAATTCTTGTGCACTAGATCAACATCTACATGTTTGAAGATTGTTGGCCAGATGGCCTGCCAACAATGAAGAGAACAATAATTCCATAATGAACATTTTGTCATATGCATATTTTACATGGACAATTGTGATTCATATATTTTTCATAGAACTTTGGCCCTTCCTTCAAATAACTTATGAGAAGTCCAAGAAATCCTCCACAACACCATGCCAACATTTATTTGACATAAGCCACTAAATCAAGCATGCCTTGTCATTGCAACATTTCATTGATTGTTTTGTCTTTTTAAGAAGTAGCATGCATTGTATTTGAAGCACCTCAAACACCATCTTTTGGAAAAAATGGTACCTATCAAATTAAAATATGAATGGTGATATTGTCCAAACTATCCTTGTAATTGAATTCATTACAATTGATGATGAAGTTCACAACATGTGACATCGTTATCATCCTTCAAAGATGATTCATGTTGATTCATTTATTTGTTGTTTCCATTTCATAGTATCTTGTATTCACATCCCCTCCTTTATTGATCATTAGTGGTAGCACCTAATTTGGAATGTTTTGCTCCTCGGGGTTAAGTTATATCCTTAAGTTTTAAAGTTCAAAGGCAAATAGTTTATACATAGAGAATGAAAACACATCTCATGGGGGTGTTGGATAGTATTACAAACATTGTGCCTTTTTAAATACTCCCTTATTTCAAAACAAAAAGCGTGGTTTGACTATTTGCCCTAAAACACTATACTTTGGACCATTGATATCTCTTATATTGCATCATTCAATATCTTAAAGTTGTAACTCATGATATAAAACACTTTTAAGTATTAATGCTACAATCTTAAAAGTTGTACGTCATAATATCCAAACTCTTATTTTGAATGTTGGTTGTAGATTATAGGTTTGAACCTTGAAATATGTGCATGCCTTATAAAAAATAAATGGAGGAATACTACAAAAAGTGGAATGGTTTGTGACTAAATATGATTTGAGACTTCCCAAGGGAAACACATATGGACATAAAAGGGTAGGATGGTAAAATGGTGATATGTGTAGTACCAAATCATACTTTTTTATTTAGTTTATGTCACCTAGATTCATTCTGTTATCAGTACGAAGTAGTCATTTTTACTTTGTATCAATAAGTATATCTGTTTCATCAAAAGTTTTTTTCTACTTGACCATGTTTCAATTTACCTGATATAAATTTGATGAATAAATATTGTTTTATGCATGCAAATTACATATGCATTTGTCTAACTTTTAGCGTTATATTTTCCCCACATTGTAGCAACTACAGAGAAGTTGAAGAAATTGTTATAGAGGAACCAAGACTAAGGCCCGATCCGCTTTGTGCCCTTATCATATTCTCCTCACCCAATACGCTATTTAGTATCCTCGATGGAGATAAGAGGGTCCACTTCATCATAAAAAGGGAAAGATGTGTGGGTTCAATGTTATGCTGAAGATAAGAGGGCCCACTTCACTATAAATGGTAAAAGTTTATTCTGTTGGGGATAAGTGGGACCGCTTTGTCACAAATGGAAAAGGGGGTCAAGGTATTGTTCTAAAGTGCAAGGGAATAATCTTTGTTGAACCTAGACACATAAGTATTTGGCACCGTATATCAAAATAAACTCCTTGGCATCGAAACTATATTTGCTAGATGGAATGGTTGTAACCCTATTGTCACTATGGACGTGGTGGTGTTTATGTTATTGAGATCCAATATGGTTGACTATAATGGACCTAATGTTTTGATGTTGCATAAGATGAAAATTATTGTGCATGGTTAACATTATGTCACCAAGGCTATTTCTCTAAACTTGAGAAACCACACAATGGGATAACAAGTCATTGAACACCTCATGCATGTGACTATATTTGATTTACCTCTTCGGATATCATGACATGCACTAGCCTTGCCCTCCTCGTTGGGCAATAACAATAACACACCATATTTTGTGTTGTCTATTGTTTCATCAAGAGAACAAAAAAAAGAGTAGAGGCACTATGGCAACAATCCTCTTGAATTTTTGGTGCATTTCATTGGTGAC